TTCATGCACTGTACTTCTGATTTCATCTTTCAAGACTTCCCCTCTCCTTCCAATGGTCACATGGTCTTTTCAAGAAATATTCTCCTAGCATTTGTATTTGCTTCTCTTGGAAGATATGCTTGGTGGAAATTAATACTTTGCCATTAAAGTAGGAATTATATACTGATTTTAAAAGTTCATTTCGGAAGGCTTTATACAGTCTCACTCTAAAAGTATTTAGATCTGCTTTAATGTGATATTTAAAAATGACTCACTTTTGTTGCAATACACTTCTAAGATCACTTTAAGTACAAATGGTATAGAGAATGAGGTGTTTACCTAATGTAGCTATCTATTTAGTATTGGTCGATTTTCAAGTAATTTTGTCAACGGTGTAGTATAAATAGCTCTATGATAAATTTAGGACATTCTGACTTAGTTTCGTGTCAGTCTGTCTTGAAATAATTTTTAGCAATGTAAAAACTAAAATCCCACTTGGCTAGCAGATAGATGGTACATATACAGACTGCAACTATTAATTTCCATTTACTATCTCGAATCCCAAAATATCTTTAGGAATATTAAAAAGGAAATAAGTAACTATTAGGAAAATCTCTAGCTTTACCTACTAAGAGAATTACTGTACTATCACTTAAAAATGAGGTAAAGTTATCTTGAAAATATAAAGAATAGGATGTATATAAAATAGTAAACAAGAGAAAGTTGGTGAAGCATGTCAGATTATTAGACTAAAGAAAAATCAACAACATAGTACTCTTCATTGGTAAAAAGTATTCCAAAAGCTCCACACTTACCAAAAAATAGAGAAGTTTAGCACAAATAGAGAATATTAGCAACATGTGAATTGTAAGAGAAAAATTATCAGTACTTGAAATGTCATATTTCCAAATTAAACCTTGGAATAGAGTATAAGATAATTTGGAAGAGCTATCGTGTGGTCTATAGGAAAAGCCACACTACACAGAGGAATACACCAACATACATTTTAGTTATACATATTGTAATCACATTTTCAGAAGTGATTTTATCAGAGTAACTTCCCTATTGTAGCTATTGAGCTTTCTCCAGAAATTTTGTGAAGAAATGGAGAAGTAGATTAGTGAGGAAAGTATGGATTACCACAGGAATTTAGTCATAAAAGTTGACTTTGAGGGAACAAAATGAAAATGAATGCTTGTTTCTAATTATGAACAAAAGAAAATAAAACAGAATAAAGACACTAAGCACACACAGACAATTATCTTTTGGAAGAAAGTTTTATCATCTCTGAGTTAAATAGGATTCCTTAATTAGAGTGTTGAAAATTGAAGGCACAAATCTTAAGGTTAGCAAATTTGACTAATGACAAGCAAAACCACTGTGTCAATGTAACTTTACATTGGTGAGAAAATATAATAGATAGATGCAAGAACATTAATTTGAACAGGTAAAATATATCAGTTAAAATAAATACATTTATATGAATACCATCAGTAGAACTAAGACATGTATTGAACAAAAATTATACTATATTTATATGAATGTTTGGGTGTTGTTTTTTCAAATGGAATTTTTTTTTTTTTAACTTTTTACTGGTACCAGGGATCGAACTCACGACCACCTGCTTGCAAGGCAGGTGCTTATGCCACTGAGCTAAATCCCCAGCCCCTCAAATGTAAATCTAAGGTCACTGCAGGTGAGCAGAACTCTTTAAGAGAAGGCTGCCTTTAGAAATGAGATCAGTAGGACAAAGAAGGGTTGACCAGCTATTTGAAAAGTTTTATTTGTTTAAAAATAAATGTGTTGGCAGATACCAATGATCTCAGCTACTATGCAGGCTGAATCAGGAGGACTGAAAGTCTGTGTCCACCCTTGGCAACTCAGCAAAAAAAAAAAAAGTTGGAAACTAGATAGGGTACAAGCCTTTGGGTTCAGTTCTGTACACTGAAAATACCAGCAACAAGTAAATCAGAAAGGATTGTGCAGCAAACATACTAACAACACTTACTGCTTGGGGGTGGCATGTTTAAGTAGTTTTTAAAAAGACTCTGCATTTTCTGTAATCATACAGAATATTTGGTAATATAAAATATCTATGGAATAAAGCATATGCTAAAATCTAATTTGGTGCCAAAATAATTTGAATACACAGAAACACTAGTAATAGATGCTTGCAAATTTATGTCTGTGCAAAATAGCTTCAAGTGTCAATGAATAAATCACAACAATGCATTAAAAGACTTTCATACCTCAGCGAAGGAAGGATTTCTCCTAGAAATACAAGCTTGCTTCAATATTATAAATACACCATGTTATAATATATGGTATTAAATACACATTGATTGTGTCTCATAAAGAAAAAGAACAGTTAGCCATCACCCATTATGGATTTTAAAAATAAGGAGGGGGAATAAAAAGGAGAACAGGATGGAAAAGTAATTAAGGGATTTTATGTGCATGTATCAGCTCCACATAAGGAATGTAATAATTATCTCCTGTAAATATGTATGACTGCATTTACCCATAAAAGCCTCAAGAGTATCCTTTTTATAGCTGAGTAATATTCCATCATGGAGACAAGTTGAGACTATACTCATAAGTGAAATAAATCAGACTCACATTTGTAAATCTCATATTATCTTCCTAGTGTAAAAAATAATAAAAACCTGAAAGAGTAATAAGATCCAAAATGTATAATTCATATTGTAATAAGGAAAAAGAAAGAAAGTGCTCAATAGGAAAGAATAATTCAGAGAGAGGAAAGGAGAAATGGAAGAAAGGAGATTATATGTATGTAGGTATTCACATGTAACTGTGTGTGTATGTGTATATGTACAAGATAACTATACTACTAAGTCTCTGTTAGTTCATCAAAAAGAACAGTTTTTGCTGTCATTTGTTTGATTGATCATTTTTATATCTAGATCTTGTAACGTGAACAACTACTTCTAGGAAAACAATATGCAACATATTAACTAGTGTTGATTTCTGTTTCTTTTAAATTCTGTATTATTTCTATTTCTTTTTCTGCTTTGCATTTTTAAAATAAAGAAAGTATGTCTAAAAATAAATTTTAAAAGAAATATAAATATTTGTTAGAATTTATAGAAGTTTTCTGGTATTAAAAGTGTTTTCATCACATTTGGGACAGATAAAATTTATATTTAAAATACTTTAAAGATATCAAGAGTAACAGGACAAAAACCTCTGGGAATTTTCTAAGATTATAATGGTTTGTATCTGTATTGTTAATGGGATATGACTTATATAGCTCAAACTGAGAGCCAACATCATGCTTAATGGTAGAAAAATGGAACATTAGAAGCATCTTCATTAAAGTCAAGAATTAGACACTAAATCCCCCTCAACAGCATTAACATTGTTTTGTAGGAGTAGTGAAATTAAGCAAGAACAAAAGAATTATAAATATAAGAAGAAAAGGCAGAAGAGATTCTTTATTGACAGTTTGTGTGCCTCTATTCTTATAACCCCAAAATAGATTAAAAAATATTTGAAGCAATAGAAACATTCAGTAAGTTGGCAAATCTAAAATACTATTCTGCTCAAATTATTAACTTTGGCACACAAATCATGACCAGTTTTAAAATATAATTAAAGAAATCATTTAAAACAAAAATAAGTAAGGAATATATATATATATATATATATATATATATATATATATATATAATTGTTAAAGAAAAATTTTAAATGTTAAAAAGTCCAGCAATAAAATAATTTTGTCTTTGGAAAGATTGATTCAGTATTTAAAATGCAATCATTCACCCTTTCTAGATTAATGGTTTACAATTGTTTTTCTTACTAGGTGATAGAGCTGATAACTACGAACTATTTTATGTCCCGGAACTGCTGATTCAATAAGGAAACTGACATCCAAATTTTGATATAATTTGCCCAAATTTTATTCTTGCCTCATACTCTCTTCACTAGAAATTCTGACTGTATTTAGCTTAGTGTTTTCATTGTAGATTGGGCATTTGTGTGTCCCTGCCTCTACCAACTACTGTAGCACAGAAATTCAGGTCTCACTTGTCCTTTTAAAGGGGACACATATATCATAGGTTGACAGAAATTGGGTAGAAATGTGCACATTTTGTGGTAGGCAGCGTTAGTCAATCACTTTCCTGTCGTTATATGGTCCCAAAATTGGCATATTTCAAGGTTTGTAAAGAGCTTTGGAAATATGAAATTTTTGTCTTGAGTATTTGGATTTTTGAAGGTTGGCATCCAACTTAGAACCCAGCCACTCTCTGAGGCAGGAGATTGGGGGGTGGCCACCTGGCTGGAGAAGCTGGTGTCACCTGCCAATCAGTGAGATGCAGGGCACACGTTCAGGAAAAGTTTTGCATCTGTGACCAATCAGAAAATACTGTCTTCAGTTCTTTTGCCACAAGATCAAAAACTTTTCGATGGAATGGCCTAGATGTGACATCAGACTGATCATTGACCTCGTTGGCCACTGTCTTCTCTTTCAGTGGCCCTTTCTTTCTGTCTGTCTCTGCAGAAAGTACTTAATGTCCTACTTTTTGTAACTATAAAAGTTCAAAACTTTATTATTTGTTTAAGTCTGCACTCAGGATAACAGAAACCTGGAAAGAACTTATAGAAGGAGCCTAGAACAACCCCGCATGCCAGTAACACCTTCAGTTCTGGAAAACCTAACCTAACTGTTGGCAAGATTTGACCTGTGACTTGTGGTTTTTGGTGACGTTGGATTCTTCTAATACTGCTTTCCCTGCAATTTGGTATCCTAAATCCAGGCACTAAAAATTGACTAGGGTCGGTACAGGAATAAGGTTTCAAGGTACTGTGCTTGTCTGTTTTGTTGGACAAGTAGCTAAGTCATTCAGTGTTTCTGTCGTTTTCTAGACCAGTCCCAGACCTCAGTTAATTGTGTGTATGTCTAGATTTAACATCATTAAGTCAACGAATAGGAGGAAGATAAGATCCAACCAGACTGTTCTATCAAACATTCATGAAGTCTTTTATCTTCCAACCAGGTATTTTTGGTCACTGTCTGGAATTTTGAGCTCTACATGATCCCCCTGGCACTGCTGCTACTGCTGTTCTACAATTTCATCAGACCCATGAAAGGGAAGGTCAGTAGCACCCAGGACAGCCAGGTAAGCAAATCCTTAAATAGTTCTAGCATTTGACTAGGGAAAGCGTGGTGACAACCATGAACAATAACTACTGCACCACCAAGTCATTTTTTTTTTTTTTTGAGATGAGGATGTAGGTCTGCACACAGCTATTTTGCAACAGAGTTCTTTTATTAGGGAGTCTTCCTTTGTGATATTTTGCGTTCCTGAGGGTCCACCTCTGGCCTTTGCTTTTTGAGCATTGTTTCCATGATAGTACTTGTCTAAGCACTTGATTCTCTGTGAGGTTCCAGAGAGAAACCACCTCAAACAGTACAGAAAACATGTGGTGGCTCCCTGATCTCTTCCGTGACACACAGAAAATTCTGGGAAGGTGGATCAGGCTTTTCCACAAGGGTACCCCCACAAAGTTCTCCTGTGGCCTGAAAGCCCAGAACAGCGTGCCAGCTCCCAGAGCACTTGAGAGGTGGGTAAGCACAAATGGCTTTTTTCTCAGGTGTCAACATTTGTCTTGAAATTCTTTAAGTCCTTGTCATGTGCAAGCACCAGCCAGGTCCCTTCCCAGCCACCCTTCAGCACCCTTCTCCTGGCCTCTCTGCTACTCTTCAGCTCCGTCTCCATCAGCCCAGGCCAAAGGGGATTTTTTTTTACTCTAAATGAGCAGAACTTCATATTTATAGATTAGCTTTGTAATGAAATGTTGGCATTCCTGAGTCTACAACAAGATTTTCCAAGACTTAAATGCTAATCATTATCATGTATTTTTTATATTCGCATTTTATAAATTCATCTCTGAAATAATTGACATTTAAGGAGTGCTTCTGATTTCACTGATGATGAGGAGAATGTGAGAAAAACAGGTATTGTGGCAAACTAGAAAAGTTGAGGCATTTTCAAAATTATATTGTTTGATTATTTACTACAGTAGTTGTGGATTTAAGTTCACAAGATAATAGAACCAACTGAAAAATAAATAGGTTAAAAATTTAGGACATTTTAAGAGCTAGTCTTCATCCAGGTATAATTGAGGGGCATTTATACAAAGAAATACCTGTAATAAAAATGCTATGGCCTAATATTTTACAGTGCTTCATCAGATCGCATTTTACTCACTATGAGTATGGTGTGTGTGTGTGTGTGTGTGTGTGTGTGTGTGTGTGTGTGTGTATGCATGCATGTGTGTACATTTATGTGCATATGAATATACAGTTCGTCATTTGTGCATAAGTCTGCTTGTTAATCTATGATTATAAATGTTATTTAAAGCCTTTTTATCTTATAAGAAATGCTCATATGTATCCCTTAGTTTGATATTGATGACACAACCATGACAGAAGTAAGAGCTACCATTTTCATTGTACACTTCAGAAAACTAAAGTTCAAAGTGGTAAAGTCATTTGATTAAAGTTACAAAACGAAAATGTGTTGGAACTCTATCTCCAGGTGGAAATTTGTAACTTTCCTAATTGTGTTTTCTCCTATAATCTTTTTTTTAATCACATTCCTATTTGTCTATTGTTACCCATGAGCCACACTTGCTGCCAATGGAAAATAGGTTAGTTTCCTGGGGTTCAGTGGGTGTCACCCAAACAGCTAGCTGAGGCTCACAAGGGTTCTGGAAGGTAAGGCTGTATCATCCTGGGAAAGTTTCTGAATGACCGGTCGATGGTTTTATGGAGTGCAGCGAGAATGATGGAGCCATCAAACTTATTACTGACATATTTTTTAACTGTTGGAGTAATAGTAAGCAGTGTGGCAGACCTTGCAAGTCTAGGTGTTCAAAATGGACCCTGGTTTTCTAATATTGAGTTTATTTTATTTTTGCTGCTGGACTCATTCATTACTATACTAACATGTGTACTTTTAAACTATACATTGATGGGATTAGAAACTTGCCCATTAACTCTGACTGCTAAACTGATTTGAACCAGCCAGTTAGCAGCCTAGCTGCTGCTATGCTGGTAAACTAATCACCTGCAAGTCCCTGTCAGAGTGCTGGTTTTGTTTCCTGTCCCTGCCCTGCCTACCCTCAGAGCCCACAGTAAACAAAAATCCCACATGGAAACCTGAGATTCATCCATAAGATGGATCGTGTTCTATGAATACATTTTCTACTATTTAATGTCGCTGGAATGGCCCCAGAGGGAAAGAGCTGCCATTAGAACATGAGCCCAGCACAAATGGAGTGTGGGATTCTCAGACTTAACGTCGCAGTTGGTTCATTTGTCAGAACAAGAACAAAACTGTTTACAGAAAGCATAAGTCGGCCAGGCATTTTTGAGGCTGGAGGACTTCAAAGGGCACTTGCCTAATAGCTTTATTTATAGGTAACAGTTTTATGCAGACAATGAACATGGTTTATAGTTTTGCAACAGCGTCCCTGAACTTTAAATGTATTTTCAAGAGGTTATGATGAGTTTTAAAAATAGTAATAATTCAACACTGTAGAAAAAATTAAAAATGCCTATATGGTTAATTCACACTGAGCACTGGTTGATGCTTTATTAATAAACCGTGGGGTTTCTTTGCAGGAGAGCACAGACATTGAGGAGGAGGATGACGAGGATGACAAGGTGAGTGTGTCCCTCAAGGAGCCAAAAGGACACCGATGTAGGTAGCAGACTGTGCTGTCTCAAATTGCATCATTTTTTCACATTATAGAGTCAACAGTAATAATTTAACTTTTAAAAAGCCATCTTCTGCATATTTAAAATGGAACAGTTCTGATATCTGTCTGTCTCTTTATGCAAACATAATACTAGTAGCAGTCACCTTTCCTATCTTACAAAGATTTGCTTTTAATCAATTGAGAGATAATAATTGAACATCTTTCTGTGGATTGAGTGATGTTGGAGCCCCTTCATGAGACTGTTTTAAACTGAGATTGAAAAGCGGGTAAAACATAAGGAATCACTGAAAAAGTCTAAAGAGCATACCAGTAGGAAGCCTTATCTTGGACAGAAGCCAAGATGCGCCTTTGCTTTGTAGATAAAAGGGAACCTGGGAAGCCAAAAGTAAATCAGTGAAATTGCTGCTCCTTTAGGTTGGTGTCCGCACTCTGCGGGGTGGTCACCCACTTCCTAACCTGTCACTTTCCCAGCTGTTGCTGGCAGCATTTCCAGCTATGCGTCTGTGTACATCTGTCCTTTTTCTTCTCCTGGGAGAATCTCTCAAATCTGTGGCTTTTGTTGTCATTACACTTTCAGGCAAACCTTCTGGAATTAAGTGAATAAAAAGAAATGCCAAGTGAGCTGCTTCTAGCTTAATAGACTTCCAGCCTCCTAAAAACTCTGGGTGTATGGGGCTCGTGATGTCATCATACAGCAGGTTTGTGGGGGACCAAAGAGCAAAAGGCAAACCCTTCTGAGAAAGTACATACTATCAAAGCCCATAGATTTGAAATTGAATTGCAGGCACTGGCTCCATGACACAGAGGGCCATCAAATTAATTGAGTGGACCAGATGGTTTTGGCCATTTGAAGCAAATGGGATAGATTACAAGTAAATCTTATTTGTTGTGCTACGGTGATCATTAATAGCAAAATAATGAAGTACAATATTTTGAAGAGGGTCCACACCCTTTTCAGGACAGAGGACATGTACCTTTCTTCTTGATCTTTGATGTGGTTTCTGGGTGATAACCTTATTGAATGTTAATAGTTATCACTGAGTTGTAATGCATCATGAAATGTTTTACAGAGGAAAATTAAAAAAGAACAAATGCAGTTGTTTTAAACCCATATGAGGTACTTCTTGTTTTTCCCACTGAGCTCTAAATTAAAGATTATCAAGCACCTGCCTTGCAAGCATGCAGTCGCGTGAGTACAAAACAAAACAAAACAAAACATTATCATAAATTGCTACTCGGGTTCAAGAATTTGAAAGAGTGGCTCACAACCTTCAGGAAAACTTTACTTATACTTCTTGCTTTACTAGGACTGTCCAGCTCAGAAAGAGTCACATGGAGGACATGCCCAGCGGAAGGCTTGGGCAGAGCCCCGCTGCACTCAGGAACCTCTCAGCACATATTCATCAACCAATAACCCATGTGAAACAGTTTTATAGTTGTTTTAAAGGAGGCTTCATTAAGCAGGCTCAGTTAACCAAATTCTTGTCCAGCTTCTACCCAATTTCTGGAAATCAGCTGGCTTAGATGGAGTTTCATTTAACCCTCTCATCAAGTTCCCCATACCATCAGCTTCCCACCTTAGTGTTTTCCGAAAGTTCCCCAATAATATTAATTCAGTTGTGATGAAAAGGGACTTGTCATGAATAGCAAATTTTCTCCACCTTTTCAGATCTTAAGGTGTTTCAATAACTGGGACAAAACCAAATATAACAAAACTACTCCTCACATAGGAAATTTCAAGAATTTCAGAAGCACTGGTGAGGAGCCAGGGACAAGGACCAAATATACATTTATTACATTGCATTATCACACTAGGCAGAATTCAACATTCACAAACAAGCTCAATCATTTTTGTCTGACAAGACTGTTTAAATGAGATATCCATGGAAGGGGATACATGCACCCTGTAGGGATAATTGTGAGCAGGGTTTTTGGGCTTGTCTAATACAGGAAACATCCAATAAGAAGGCAGTGATAAAAGTATGGCATTCAGCAACTGGCAAGCAAGACTATTAGGCGATTAGGTCAGTGGTTGTCACGGTCTTACTTTCTACTGAGCAGTGTGAAGTTCTGCAGAGATACTTGAGCTGTGCTCATCTTCCTAAGCACGGCTGAGTGAGGGAAGTGGCAGAACACCTCCAAGGATGAGCTTGGGAGGCACTGACTTTCACCTTATCAGGGCCCTGCATAACTGCCCCATATGGAGAAGGCTGGCCATAGGGCATTCCTCTCTCCCACTAAGGGAAGTCCACCAATCTCGGTTACTTATCTCTCATTGCTGGAACAAAATATCCAACATCCCAAATGAAGGAAGCAAAGGTGTTTTTAGCTTAGAGGTTTCAGAGGTTTTAGTCCATAATCAGCTGGCTCCAAGGCAGGGCGTCATGGCTAAGGGGCAGTTCATGGTATCTGCATCAGATAACAGAAGCAAAAAGAGCAAAAGGACAAAAAGGGGAAGGCACAGCTCCTTCCCTCTCCTATATTGTATGCTGGCTCCCTGCCCTTGAGAGAGTATAGCACTCACAACACCAATCCCAGTGGTAGACAATGAACCAGTCACAAGCACTAGATTCAACTGCCTCCATGACTGCATGAGGCTTTGGTGGGTAAACAAACCACAATGATTCACCCAGCCCCCTAAAGACTCACATACAGATTTATGCAAAAGATATTTAGTCCATCTCCAAGTGTTGCTAAAGTCCTAACAGTTTTAACCTTGCTGCAAGTTTCAAGTCCCAAGTCTCCCTTGGAATCTAAGACAAACTTCTAGCTTTCATACTCTGTTCAAGAGAAAACAAAGTTAAACACTTTCAACATACAATGGTACAAGATAAGCATTACCATTTAAAAAGGTATGAATATGGGAATTGAAACCAAAGCAAATCCAAAATTCATCAGAGCAAACACTAAGTCCTGGAGTTCCATGCTTAGCATCTGAAGCAATCTGGTTGTGAGCTTCAAAAGGCTTGAGTGACTCCACCCTCGCGGCACTTCCAGTGGTTGTAGCTCCCATGGTTTCTCTCTTCGGACCACGTTGCTCACTCCCTGCAGATTTCCTTAGATGACCCATGCTCCTGGCTTTTCCAAACTTCTGCATTTCACACATTGCTCTCTAAGGGGCACACCACCTGGCCTCACAGGACTTCTGAAATGGAGGTGGAAGCCTTTCTAACCTCAGAACTTGTGCATTTTGCATGTGTTTAAAACTAGTACCATGTGGATGCTGCCAAGATCTGCTGCCAGCTAAAGCAGTAGCCAGGCTTTCTTCACTCTTGACTGTACGAGTTGAGTGCCTAGATCACTGAGTGCTCTGAACTTGATTGTGAGAACAGACTTTTTTTTTTTTTTTTTATGACACTGTCATTCTGGAACATGGTGACCCTACTGCCATTTTGGAATCTCATATGGCCTCTGCTGCCATTGTGAACATGATGCCCTGTGACTTTCTGCTCCAAGCAAAATATTTCACTTTTGCAGTTTTGAGGCTATAAATGGTGGAGACTGACCGTTACTTTTGTGAGGCCCCAGGCCATCTTTTACATTTTCCCGTTGCTTCTCAGCAATAGAGACCTCAGCTCTGTCTTTACAGTCCATAGCCTACAGCAGCTTTCTTTCTGGCCAAACTCACAACATTTTAAGTCATTGTGTTGGACCCTTTGCTCTTTATTATGGGCTATTGAGGCCCCCAATAATAGCAATACCGATGCCTCAACATTTGACTGCCTTAAAATTTCTTCTGCCAGATTAATTACTCTTCCACCCTTAGTTTCAGGCAAGGTCTCTGGACATGGACAAAATGTAGGCACACTTTCTGCCAAGCCATAACACATTGTCTAGAGTCCAACACCCAGTGTAGTCCTTCTTTCCAGAGAACTTCCCATGCCTGGTCTTTACCAGCAGGATTTCTATCAGCCTTCTGGTCTCCTGAGCTCTGACCAGAATCTCCCACGCAGAACAGCCTAAGGTATTCCAGCTCTATAAATTCAGGTGACAGCTCTGAACCTTTCCAAACCCTTCTCACAAGCCATTCCCAAAGTCTCTTGAACCACATGGTCAGCTACAGTTAGAGCAGTGACTCTACTCCTCTGGTATCAAGTTCTGTTTTAGTCACTTTTCTCTCATTTCTGGGACAAAATACCTGATATCCCAAAATAAAGGAAGGAAAGATTTATTTAGCTTAAAGTTTTCAGAGGTTTCAGGCCATAATCAGCTGACTCCAAGGCCAAGAGGCATGGGTAAGGGGCAGTTCATGGTAGCTGTGGCAGATATCAGAAGTGACAAGATCAGAAGGGCAAAAAGGGGAAGGTACAGCTCCTTCTCCCCTTTATATTGTATGCTGGCTACCAATCCCTTAGTAGGTGCAGCACTCACCCAGCCAACAAACCAATCCCAGTGCTAGATTCTGCCATCTCCATGACTGCATGAGACTTTGGGGAGGGGGCATTTAAACAAACCACAATACCAAACTTGGGATATTTTTCTCAAAAGTGCCTTTTAAGAGTCAAAGCATAATTCACACAGGCATTCAGTTTCATATTTTCACATACTCTTATAAAGGAATAAATCTGAAAGAAACAATGATTTGACTTCTGTTTATCGCTTTTGTGTTAAACATGTCCTTCTGCAGGTAGGGGAAACTGGCAGACTTTTAGTTTACTCTCACTATCCCATCCTCCCTCTCTTGAGAGTTTGTTAAACTGGAGGGGAATTCAACTTCAAGACTTCCCCAGTGCATATTTCCACACATACAGTGATTTTTTTGTGACTTTTTAATGCATAGCAGGCTCTACCTATGTGATGTGCTTGTCCCAGTCTGCACACACAGTTACTGGGTGATTCCCCCACCACCGTGATCTGTCTAAAAGATCCTCCCCTGAACTCTTCTGGCTTCATTGTGTGTAGACATGACAGACCATGCTTCTGGGAACTGTAAAACACCCAGGC